CCTCTCTCTCCTTCTCTCTCCCTGCCTCCTTCTCCCTCCCTCCCTCTCCTTCCCTCTCCCTCCCTCCCTCTCCCTCCCTGTCTCTCCCTCTCTTGATCTCTTTTACAAAAATGGCTGTGGTCCCAGGTGTGCAGCATGGCCCAGAAAAGCAGGAGATTGTAGGAGTATTTTTGAAATTACCATGTGGGTACCTGCAGTAAAATATCTCTCTGTACCCAAAAAAGGGAGTCCAGAGCAGGGAGGTATGTGCCCTGCAGCCCCCAGCTCTGTCACCAGCTCAACCACTAACGTCATTGCCTGATTAACTTTCTTCCCTTTTCTCTTTTTATTATGAAAAATTTTGTAACAGAACAATATAGAGAATAGTAAAATGAACCCCATATACCGACCGCCTAGGTTTCTAGTAACACGATGCCATATTTGCCTCATCTATTTTTTAAAATGTGTTTTTTAATCAAAATGCAATTCACATATTTAAAAAATGCACAGCTCTAGCAAGCGGTTAAGTGCGCGTGCTCTGCTGTGGCGGCCCAGGGTTTGCCGGTTTGGATCCGGGGCTCGCAGCTACGCACTGCTTGTCAAGCCTTGCTGTGGCGGCATCCCATGTAAAGTAGAGGGAGATGGGCACGGATGTTAGCCCAGGGCCAGTCTTCCTCAGCAAAAAGAGGAGGATTGGCAGATGTTAGCTCAGGGCTGATCCTCCTCACAAAAAAAAGAAAAAAAAAAAAATGCACAGCTCTTGAGTGTAAAGTTTGGGGAATTCTGGCAATTATACACAACCTGTGCCAAAGCATTTTAAGGTAAATTTCCTCGCATTATATTTTAGTCTGAACCTTAACACTTCAGCATGCGATTTCTGTATACCCACTGTATATAGAAATGTTATCACTCTTAACAAAATTAACAATAATTCCCTAATATCTTTTAAACTCCAGACTATTTCAAATTCCCCAATTGTCCCCAAAACGTCTCTTGCAGCTGGCACGTTCAAAAGAGGATCCAGATAGTTTTCTCACATTGTTCAGTACCTAAGTCTCTTAAGTTTCTTTAATCTACAGTAATCTTCCCTGCTTCTTCTGTTTTTTCAGTGGTATTGGTGTTCATGGTATTGACTTGTTGAGGAGCCTGGGCCGATGGTCCTGTGAAACATCCCACTTCATGTAGTTCGCTTGTTCTTCTCTCCCCTGTATTTTGTATCAAGTGGCAGCTGGTCTTGGGGCTTGATGAGATCAGAGGAAACATTTTGGCAGTGCCGCCTGGCAGACCGTGCTCTGGCCTTTGTATAGCCTCAGAGCGAGGTGCCCTGGATGTCTGGTTTCTTCACCCAGAATGAGGTCTCAGATGTCCCCCAGAGATTTAAAATGTGCTAGGCCACATCTGCAGCTGGCGGCCTCCTCAGTGAGCCAGTGGGGAAGGTCAGGCCCAGCTCCCAGAGTCTTTTGCCTGGCAGGACGGGTGGACGGCCCTGGGTGGGCCGGCTCAGGGGCTCAGGAGGAGGGGGCGTCTGCCTTCCTGGGGGAGCGTCCTGTGGGGCTGCAGGCAATGAGACGTGGGGAAGCTGAAGCCCCCGGCCTGCCTCTCCTCCATAGCTGCGGGATCTCACCCTGGGGTTCTGCCTCCCCCGTGCAGATGACAACAGCAACCAGAGCTCCATAGCAGATGCCTCCCCCATCAAGCAGGAGAACAGCAGCAACTCCAGCCCTGCTCCGGAGTCCAACGTGGCCGTGCCCGGCGATGGCACCGACGCCAAGGTGGACGAGGCCCAGGCCGACGGGAAGGAGCTCCCGGGGGCTGAAGGTACGTGCCCTCCAGAGCGGGGCTCAGAGAGGCCACTCTCCATCCAGCCCTCAGTTCAGACAGTTGACAGGTATTTAAGGAGGCCCTGCCAAGTGCCAGCCCCCAGAAGGTGACAGTAGAAGAAAGGTAATGCCTGGAGCTCATGTTCTGGTGGGGCGGTTTAAACATCCTGCAGTCTAGTATTTGGAAAATCACTGCTGTGGAGAACTATAAAGTAAGAAAGAGGAATGAAGAGTCTGACAAATTATGGGGGGTGTTGTGATTTTAAATAGGGTGGTCAGGGAAGGCCTCATCGAGAAGGTGACATTAGATCAGATTAGGTGAGGGAGCAAGCCATGTGAATAACTGGGAGAAGAGTATTGTGGGCAGAGCAAATGGGCAGTGCAAAGGCCCTGGGGTGAACTCAGTGTGGCTGGAGAAGAGCAGGTGAGGGGCTCAAAAAGTGAGATGAAGTCAGAGAGGAGGTGGGTGTCTATTGTGGGGGGCTCATAAGGCCACCTCACAGACCCCGGCTTTTATCCTGAGTGAGACAGGAGCCATTGGGAGTTTGAGTGCTGTGATCTGAAGGACCACTTTGGTTGCTGTGACTGAGACTAGATAATAGGGGGGCCAGGATAGAAGCAGGGAGACCAGTGAGGGGTTACTGCAGTCGTCCAGGTGGGAGAGGATGGCAGCTGTATTGGGGTGGGCAGAAGAGGAGGTAAGAAGTGGTCTGATTGTGGAGGACGTGTGTGTGTGCGTGTGTGTGTGTTGACACATGTGTGTACATATGTTTGTGTATTTTGAGGTCTCCTGATTCTCTTTAAATGAAGGCAATAGGGAGTGGTGGGGAGTGTGGTAACTGGTGAATGCAGGTCGTTTGGCCCTAGAAAAATTGAAAGAATAGTGTAATACTCTCCTATATACCCACCAGCCGAATTCGGCAGTTGTTATTTTTTCTTTCTTTGTCTGTAAGTATTTTCTGGGGCCATTTGAAAGTAACTTGCAGACCTTAGGACATTGCATTCCTAAACACTTCAGCATGCATCTTTTAATGATAAGGACATTCTCTTACATAATCACAAATACCATCATCGCACCTAAGAAAATGAACAGTAGTTCCCGATTGTCTAATATCGAGGTATATCTCGAAGGTCGGGGTGATGTGTTGATGGGTGGTACGTGGGCTGAGTGAGAGGGGACTCATGGATGACTCCCAGCACCTGGAGGGACAGCCTTGCCGTCATCAGTTACAGGAGAGGTGGTGGAAGGGCAGGGCAGGCCCAGTCTGGAGTTCTGGGGAGAGGTCCGACTGGTGTGCTGCTTACACTGTGCAGGGAGGCAGCTGGCCTGGAGTCGGGGCTTCGGTGCTGGAGGAGGGCGTGCGTCTCCTCCGGAGAAAGGCCGTCCTATGCCGTGGAGTTCATTCACATCCCATTCCATTCCCTTCGACACACTTTACCCACATTGGCCCTGTGCAAGGTTCTGTGCTGGTCCTGGGCCTCAGTCACAACTGAGTCCTGCCTCCTGCCGCCAAGAACTCATAGGCAAGAAAAACATCAAAACTGAGAATTACAGCCTATAGAGAAGGTGCAGCCAGACTAGATCCAGTGTGTGGTGTGCAGGTGTGACCACGGAACCCAGTGGTATTTTTATTTTTAATTGGAATTGGATGTCAAAATTTAAAAATTGAGCAATTTCACTTAAAATAAGATTGATTTCCAGCTTCTCTTGAAAAAGAAGATCTGGCAGTACTGGACCTGCGTTTCCATGGAGCAGCAATCAGCTAGAGCAGAGACGTTGTTGCCCCTCCAGGGAGGGCCAGACAACCTGCATTCACCAGTTACCACACTCCCCACCCCTCCCTATTGCCTCCCTGACACTGAGGCCAAAGGCAATTGCTGTGTATTACCCCGTGATCACTGTTGTTTTTCTTATTGTAGATTTAAAAGGAAAATTAAGATGTTTCTTGAACCTCTTTCTCTACCAAGAGTGGGAAAGTAAAAGGCAGAGAGACTGGGGGAATACACATTTCTTTGAGGAAGCAGAGACTATTCCTTTAGATTTTCTTTGCAAAGCTTATTTGTGTCTGAATTAAACCGCCCACGTGACTCATCCATGGCACTGCCTGGCCCCTGAGGGGCTTTTAAGTTCATGGTCAGTGCTGTGATAGACACAGAAAGGAAAGGGAGCCTGGGGGCCTCCAGGAAGGCTTCCTGGAGGGGGTGCTGTCTGACTTGAGCTTGACGAATGAGCAGGGATTAGAAGGGGGACAGGAAATCCAGGCCGAAGGGTCCAAGGGGCAGTGCCTGGGGAAGTGCAGGGGAAGGGGTGAGCCAGCCACGTGGAAGAGGCTCATATTCTCAGTGTGGCACCCTTTCTGAGCCCGGTGAAGAAGGTGTCTGGGTCCCGGGTAGGCCCCTGGGCAGATGGGAGTGGGACGCAGGTAACCCTACAGACGGGAGCAATTCAGACATCAGGATGCAGACTGAAGCGAGCCCCCCAAAGAGTCCTCCCCATCCTCGGGGCGGGGACCACTGCTGAGTCTATTTTGCAGCCCTCCAGAGGTAGTCTGTGCACCTAGAAGCATCTGTATGAAGCTATACCCTCCCTTTTTAGAACACTCTCTTAATCACCATGGAGATTGATCCACGTTAGGACACAGATTTGTTTTATTCTCTTTACCAGCTTATCTTTCAGTGATATGAATGTGTCATAATTTACATAAATAGTCCCTGCATTGATGGTCATTAGGTTGTTTCTGTCTTTTTCTCACACACCCGGTGCTGCAGGGACTCTTGCGCACACATCTCTTTGCATCCTTGCTCAGGTGTGAGTGGGTCTGGAGGACACAGCCCTGGAAGTGGAACTGTTTAGTCAGAGGTTGCGGGCATTTAAGGAGTCAGTAGGCCCTGCAGTGTTTTCTCCAGAGAGGTGGTCGGTAGAATGGCTTTCCCCCGAGCAGGGGCTTTCAACCTCGGCATTACCAGAATCATTTGCAAGTGATTCTTGGCTGTGGGGGCTGTCCCGTGCATGCATGGTTGGGCGTGGAGAAGCATCCCTGGCTTCTTCTGACGAGGTGCCAGTAGCACACCCCCACCCCCACCTATGACACCAAAAAGTTTCCAGACGGTGCCACATTGGGGGAGGGGGCAAAATCGCCTCCTATCCTAATGGCTTTGACATAGCCTTCCACCGTGTACAGCATGTGGGCATCGCCCCTCGTCCCCCCACAGTGGCCCCCAGCACCGTCCTGGTAAGGTGGCTTTGCAGACAGAAGGCAGTGAAGCCAGGGGGCTGTGGACACAGGACAGGGAGCTGGGCCGACACTTGCTAGCTGTGTGGCCTTGAGCTGGCAGTGTCACCTCCTGCACACCTTCCTGTTTCCTTGTTTATAAAATGAGACAAATAAGAGTCACCTCTTGTCAGGTCATTGCAAGGAGTGAATGAGGCGGGAAAGGAAGTGAAATGCTTGGGCCGAGACTGGCGGGCAGGAAGGGCCTGGTAAGCGTGGGAACCGCCTTCTCTGCCCTCCTGTAGGGGGGATGTGAGGAGACCGGGCGTAGGGGTCATGCAGGACCAGGTGTGGGCACATCCTGGCTTCTTTCCCGTCCTGCTTTCTTTCTGGCCATGGCCTCATTTCTCCCACTTTTGGGGTCTGCGTCTCCTTTGCCCTAAAGGGCCGTTTAAAGCTCAGCTACAGGAACTGTCTTGGATTAGTGCTCCCATGCCTGCCCCCTTTTGGTAACTGCCACCACCACCACCACAAGCTTTACACATCTGGGTGGAAACCACACCAGGGTCCTCTTCTGGCCACCCCAGGCCACGGGGTCTGCACAGTTGCCCAGCATTGCTCAGGTGGGACCCCCACAGTGGCCAGGCCCCCCTGCCTGTTGTTGGGGGCTGCCCGAGCTCCTGTGGGAAGGGCGTGTGGGCACACCCCCTCGGCCTGCCCAGGTGGGCGCACGCTGCCTGCTGGGACAAGGCGGTTGGTCGCCAGCTGTTGACCTTGCTTTGAACTTGTTTACTGCTGAGTGAGTTCAGGAATGACGTAATGTCCAAACTCCCTGGACTAAATTTAGGCCCCAGGAAAATAGTTTCCCCTGGTTAAGTTCCAGTACCGTTGCTCCGGGAAAATCGGGCTACTGCACTGAGCTCTCCAGCTGGGCAAGGGGTCAGCATGACTCTGGGTGACCAGCCACCATCGTGATTTCTGAGCCTCCACCCGGGGCCCCCACCTCCCTCTCCACTCTGCAGAGCCCGCAGTGTGAGGCAGAAAGGGAACTGGTCAGAGAGAAGAAAGACAGTAACAGTTGAAAGTGTTTGCTAAAGCAAACATATCTTATGAAATAGACTATAACACTAACATGGATTTTTTAATTGAGATGAAATTCACATAATATAAACGTAACCATTTTAAAGTGACACTTCAGTGGCATTTAGTCCATTCACAACATTGTACAACTACCACCTCTGTCTAGTTCCAGAACATTCTCATCATCCTAAAAGGAAACCCTGTACCATTTAGCACTCACTCTCCATTCCCTCCCTCCAGCCCCTGGCAACCACCAATCTGCTGTCTGTGTCTATGGATTTGCCTTTTCTGGATATTTCATATAAATGGGATCATACAATAGGTGGCCTTTTGTGTTGGGCTTCTTTCACTCAGCACAGTAGTGTCCAAGTTCATCCATGTTGTAGCATGGGTCAGTGCTTCATTCCTTTTCCTAGCTGAGTAGTACTTTATTGACTGGATGTACCACATTTTGTTATGCATTCATCTGTTCATTAGCATTTGGGCCATCTCCATCTTCTGACCATTGCAGAGAGTGCTGCTGTGAACATTTGTGTACAAGTATTAGTTTGAGGACCTGTTTTCAGTTCTTGTGGGTCTCTACCTTGGAGTGGAATTGCTGGGTCATGCAGTAATTCTGTATTTAACTTTTTGAGGAACTGCCATTAACATGGATTTTAAAGGTAAAACTAAAAATATGAAAGATGTCAGGTTTATGGGGAGGTGGGTTCTGTGCCGTGGATAACCCCTCAGTTACTCTCACCTGGGTGATTTTGCTGCTTGGGTACTTTTCCTGTCATTTCGTTTATTCCTCACAGCGACTTGACAGGGTGCCTATAGTCAACCTTGATTTTGTGGAGGGCGGGGGACCTGAGACTGAGAGCCCCAGTCCCACAGGAAACAAGAGGCAGGGGCACGATTGGAACTCAGATCTGTCTCTAAACCCTGTGTCTTCCCAGACACCAGCCCTGGTGAGGGCGGACCCCTGACCCTCTCTATGGCAGCAGGAAAACCCAGTTCAGACCCAGGCGGGTGTTGGGTCTCCTGGCACTGCCTGCGAGAGAGCAGGGCTGCTCACCTGAGATGGACGGGCTGGGAAGTCAGCCTCCTTGGGAGGAGGGTGCTGCACCTCCTTCCTGCCCTGCTACCCAGCCCTCTCCTCCCCTCTTGCCTCAGGCCCTGGAGGGTGGCCAACTTTTCCCATTTCCCCATATTGCTTGCTCACTTTACAACTTAAGCCTGGATTTTTTTTTTTTCCCTTTGTTACTCCACTGCCTCAGAAACCCCAGAAAGTAAGGCATTCTTGAGTATTTTAGTGTGCTTTTTAAAAATCAGGGTGACGTATGTTGCTGGGGCCTTGAGTGCAAGCAGAGCGGGGCCCCGGGGAGGATGTTGCTGCTCTCTCTGTGAGCTCGCCGGCTCTGTGCCCACAAGAAGCTCCCGGTACAGCCATTGCCTGTCTTCTTCCAAAGCTGCACCTCCTCATGCAGCCTGCTACGGCCTGCACCTTCCTTCTGCTCCAGGAGCTTGGCGAGTGAAACAGGGAGACTGAGGCGTAAGAAGGAGCCCAAATACCTGGCGAAACAGGTTCATAAACTAAGTGATTGCTTGATAGAATGCTGTGCAGCCATCTTATATGCTCTTGTATTTAGAGAATTTTTAAAGACATGAAAAATTCTTCTAAAATACTGTGTGATCCCTATTTGGGGAGAGTAGAGAATTGTATCCATGTAAGGGGAAAACATCTGGAAAGATGGGAATAAATCCTCTAAAATGTTAGTGGGGAGGTGGCTGGGGGTGGTGTGAGATAATTGGCGATTTTAACTTTATTTTTGTCTGTTTCTGGCAATGATCAGTCATTGCTCTGATGATCAGAAAAATACCCATATTATTAAGAGAAATGTTTACAGAGGGGCGTTAGCCTCTGCAGTTTGCCAGGTGGAGAATGCAGGCTCTGCAGTGGAAGAGGGAGGAGTCAGCAGCCATGATGGTCGGAGCGCGTTGTTTCCACCAGAGGGCGCTGGGTGCTCGCAGCACAAAGCCCGTAGCATCCTGTAGATGTCCTCTCAGGGCGCTTGGCAGGTAATGGGTGTGCAGGGAAAGGGTTGGAGGCCCCAGGGCTGGTGTGTGGCCTGGTTGCTTAAAACAACATCACTGAAAAATAAGCAAGAGGCTTCCCAAACCCCCCAGCTCATTGCAGCCCTAACAGACCGTGTGGCCACAAAACTACCCTGTTCCAGGTATTTTTAGTAATTGGTCCATCTGGCTGCGCATCTCATGTGTCTGAAAACAGCTTCTGCCGTCTTGCTTTTCCCTCAGATGCTTCTGATGAGCAAAATTCACAGTCTTCAATGGAAAACTCGATGAACAGTTCAGAGAAAGTTGAACGGCAGCCATCTGGAGACGCAGGTCTAGCTGCAGAGACGACCACAATCTCTCAGGTACCTCGATCGAGGTCTCAGAGGGGCAGCCAGATCGGCCGGGAGCCCGTTGGGGTGTCGGGGGTACGTTGAAAGGCGTTTTGTTATTTTGTTTTGTTTTTTTCTTGTTGGACGATTGGCACTTTCGTGTATTCATTGAGCAAGATTGATGAGCATCCTTCTGAGTCCTGTCCTGGGTGCTGGGGTTATAGTGAAGAGGAGACACATGGGCCCAGCCCTCCTACACCCTCCTATACCCGGGGAGGGTGTAGGAAGAGGAAGGGTCCTTGATCCCAGCCTCCGCTTTATCACTTTGTTTATTCAGGTCCACAAAAGCATTGCCTGGTCTCAGTGACCCAAAGTCAGCTCCCCGTAGAGCTGGGAAGACAGGTCTTCAGAAACCTAACTGCCGGGTGAATCATCCTTTGGAATTTTGCAACTGACTACACTCCCCCTACTCATACCCCTTTCTGGGTCATCGCTGTTTGTCAGAATCTGGTCTGAATTAGTGCAGAAGCAAATGACCCAGTGGATAGGAACAAACGTCCTGGGTTCAAATCCCAGCTCCTTCACTTAGCATGCACTGAGCCTCAGTGTCTCCAGCTGCCAAAATGGGACCACAGAACTGTCTTGGGGCCGGGTGCAGATGAGATGAGAGAATGTGGGTAACACACTTAGCGTGGAGCTGGACACACAAGATGCCCCATTGTTGCCTCAGCCACCTCTGGTTTTTCACCGTCAGCCCCCTGTGCTCATCTAAGAGGAGTGGGGACTCAAAGGTATCAAAACTTCAACTGATAAAACTGTTTCCACTTTGCTGAGAATTTTTGGGAGAAACTGACAGTAAGTAGCAGAAAGAAGAGAAAGGGCAGGACACAACAGGACTTGGTCTCCACTTTGTGGAACCTTGAGCCAGGCCTTCCCAATGGAAGTACCTCTCAGACTGTAACATCTGTCTACCCTGAGATCAGCAGCTCCCCTCACCCTACAGAACACTCCTCCAAATGCCCCAAGACACAGAGGGAGTATTGAGGAAGAATGTTTGCAGTGGCAAGAAATCGGCCACAGCCTAAGTTTGTGAGAAGGGGACTGGTTAACTGAATCTGGGGTCGTGTATAAAACAGACTAGTATGCAGCTGTTGAAGAGTGTGGTTGACGCAGGTTCAGACAGAGAGTAAAGAAATATTCTCGCAATGTGAAGTGAGGAAAGCAAGTCGCAGAGCCTCAGGCAGAGCATGAGCCCATTTGATTACAAATAAAAATCAAAGCCGGCCGGCCCTGTGGCTTGGTGGTTAAGTGCGCGCGCTGCGATGCTGGCGGCCCGGGTTCGGATCCCGGGTGCGCATCGAGGCACCACTTCTCCGTTCATCCTGAGGCCGAGTCCCACATACAGCAACTAGAAGGATGTGCAGCTACGACAAACAACTATCCACTGGAGCTTTGGGGGGGAAAAATAAAATAAATAAAATCTTTAAAAAAAAAAAAAAAAAAATCAAAGCCTCGTCTATAGTTGGTAAAACCGAGATGTCAGCTGGGGTCTCCTGGGCTCCTGAACTCAGTGGAGGAAAGGTCAGCCAGAACCTTTGATTCACGCCCTGGGTGCGTCTGATGCTCCCCCCTTGACATCTGAAGTGTTCGTCCTCACATTCCCCCCCCTCCACTCCCTGTCCCAGGGGACCCAGACCTGAAATCGGGCCTCTCATCATTTTCATGCACACAGAGACACACACGCTCGTCTACAGAGCTGCTGGATTCGTGAGCGAGGGGGAGGATGCATTGCAGTAAAGCAAACAATTTGACATTGAAGTTCGGCCATTCCTGTTTAACAAAGAAAAAGAGGTGTGGTCCCCCCACCCCCAGTATCAAGAGGTTTCCTGTGGCTCTTCTCCCTGCTCGTCTGTCTTGAGCTCACGTGCCTTCTCTCCTTCATCCCCACGTCCCTCCCTCCTCATCCGTCCCTTAAGCAGAGAGTCCACCTCCCTCCAGCTTCCACTTCCAGGTCCGTGTGTTGTCCCCCCACCCTCTCCCCGTCCAAGCGCTCTGCAAACCAAGGACCTCCTTCTTAACAGGATCCCCCTTCCTCGGCAGGCAGCGGCCCACTTTCTCTTGTCACATCTGTATTGAGCTTGTATCGCTTGCTTTATTAAACAAGGGAGAGGATATTGGTGATGAACACAATGCAGTCTATACAGAAACATAAATAATGTACACCTGAAATTATACAATGTTATAAACCATTCTGACCTCAATAAAGTAATTGGGGGAATAAAAGGGGGAGAGGAAAGACAGAGGCAGCTCTCCTGGCCTCCCTGCAATACCTGCTCTCAGGATCTGCCGCAAGAAACTCATAGACGGGGCTGGCCCCATGGCATTAAGTGTGGTTAAGTGCGCGCGCTCCGCTGCTGGCGGCCCGGGTTCAGATCCCGGGCGCGCACCGAGGCTTGTCAGGTCATGTGACCTGTGGCAAGCGTCCCATGTAAAGTGGAGGAAGATGGGCGTGGATGTTAGCCCAGGGCCAGTCTTCCTCAGCAAGAAGAGGAGGATTGGCATGGATGTTAGCTCAGGGCTGATCTTCCTCAAAAAAAAAAAAAAGAAACTCATACACATCCGACATCAAGGCCCGGGGTCTCTTGAACATTTATTGGGCACTCACTGTGTACCAGATGCTATGCCAGATTCTAGGGACCCAGGGTGAACCAGCAGACGAGGTCCCCCCTGCCCTCATGGGCTCATGATGGAGTTGGGGAGGCAGAGACACAGCCAGGGTACAGCAGACACAGTGGATTACAAAGTCACAACATGTGCCGCAGGAGAACCAGAACAGGTGACGCAAAGAAGCCTACAGGAGCAGAGCACTCTTCTGGACCCCGTCCACGGAGAGGAATGGGCTGTGAGCGGGAATTTGAAGGATGAGATGTTAGGTTTGGGATGGCAGGTTTTCTAGGCAGAGGGAACCAGAGGTGCCCAGGCCTGAAGACAGGAGCAAGCCTGAGGAGCAGAAGGGGAGGCCGGGGTGGCTGGGGAAGAGAACAGCGAGTCAGGGCGGAGCGATAGAGTGGGATGGGTGTCGGGGCCTGTCGCCTGGTAAGGAGTTCGGGTCTTGTTCTGAAGTTGGTGGGAAAGCATCAGCGGATTTTGCATTCTGTGTATGATTTCTCTTTGGGGAAGATCGCTTGGGCTCTGTTGAAGGCTGTGTGGGAGGCCGTGGAGGAGGCTCAGGTGCGGCCGGGGTGGTGGGCCGAGGGGGAGGTGGGTGGGCTCAAGGGTGTTCGGAGATGGAGTGGATGGACTTGCTGTTAGGTTGGGTGTGGGAGCTGAAGAGAAAGGGAGGACTCCAGGTCCCGTCCAGCTTTATCCCGGGCAGGTGGCAGTGCCATTGACAGAGGCGGGAGCCCCAGTCAGGAGGGGTAGGGTCACAAGCTGGCCTCAAGTATTGGGTTAGCTTGGAGATACCTGAGATGACTGGCTGGGAAGGTCGAGGGAGAGGTGGCTGAGTGAATGTTGAACCTCTTTTTTGAGTCATGGGACTTCTTGGGAATTTGGTGACAACTGTGAACCCTTTCCCCAGAATAACATGCATATTGTACATTCAACAAATGCTGAGCATCTGCCCAGACCGGGCACCAGTGCAGAGCCCCAGAGGAGCATTTGCGTGTTGACTAAGTTGGTTTGGGCCTTTGGGAGATGGCCTTAGAACTTGGAGAGGAAAACTGGAAACTTGTGCCCTAATGGTTACCCTCGCAATTAATTACAGATTGGAAGATTGATAATGGGGTCATCTGCTCCAGGCTGGGCGGGGTGAAGGGAGGGAGGGCTTAGAGGCACAGAGGGCAGTGTGGTAACAGTCCTGGCGTAACAAGGAGCTTGGAAAACCCAGAAGGAAGCCACTGTGGCAGGGACAGGTGGGGCCCGGGTGACGGGGCTTGGTAGACACAGGAGGAGTTTGGGTTCGAGGTTCCCCGTGGCTCTGTGACCCTCCCGAAGCCCACGCTTGGGCCGCAGGGTCCTTCCCTCAGTTCCTTCCAGGGCTGACTGCCTCACAGCTGGCCTCCACCGCTCTCCTGACATGTTAACCTGTGTTTCTCTTTTCTTCGTCTTCCCCCAGGATTTTGAAGGAGTGCCACCCTCTAAAAAGATGAAATTGGAGGCTTCCCAACAAAACTCCGAGGAGATGTAGACGCTAAGGTCAGTCCTCCGATCCACGTTTCACGGGAGATCCATCAGCAGGCTTAATTCTAGAACAACTTCACCCGAGTGACTCCTCTCGGGCGCGGACAGAACTACTAACTTTTCAAGTTTACCAAGTGCAAATCCAAGAAAATCTAGAACGGCGTAACTTCTCAGACACTGAAGAACTTTCTGCTGTGAAGTGAAACACTCAAGTCTTGAAGTGACTGTCCTTGGAAAGGCGGGGCTGACAGCTCAGGAGTGTCTGCACACTGTCTGAAGCCAAGATTTCATTTGTGTTGCTGCTGTATTGTTTTTTTTTCCCACTTCTCTATTTAACGAGATAAGCTATTTGAGGGTGGTACTGATCAGGAATTCGCTGTTCGTCACGGCTTTTCACCGTTCACCCGATTCTTTCTGCTTTCTTTTTTTGTGCCTTGTGCCCTTGAGGTGACCTCTGGCATGTTTTCCTGGTTGTTTTGCATCTCCCTTTGTGAAGTGCCCTCTTGGTTTTGTTCAGGCAGCTGCTGCCACCGTCCTCCACCCTCCCTGCCCCAGGACTTCATTCGGAGCAGAGCAGGCCAGGGAGGAGGAGAGCCCGAGGCCACCTGATTTCCAGGTACCCTGAGCCCTGGGTGGAGGCAGCACCAGCCTCTAGGGTCTGAGGAGTCTCAGATGTCAGGGCACTGTCCCCAAGGGCTGGCCACTTGATATGCTCTCGCTTCCTCGGGGCATCTGAGGCTGGCGTTTCCAAGCCCACGGCGGCCCAGACGGACACACAGAGCCCTTAGATGGTTCTGGCACCTCCACCCTCTGCCTCCACCGTACCGCTTTCTCTCACACCTCCGAACATGAAATGGCTTCTGTGGCTGACTGCAGGATTGTCTCCTTAAGACGATAAAAGGGCTGAGGAGGCTGGGAGCAGATGGCAGGAATAGCTGGTGCTGAACTTCTCTCATAGGACATTGCTTGGATTGCAAATCCACAGTAACCTGCTGTCCTCTGCCTCCCCAGCTCCCCCCGGCCCCACCCCAGGGAGGTGAGATTGCAGTCAGCTGAAATCGGCTTGCTACGGCGTCCTGTTCCTGACCCTCAGAGCCAACAGTTAGATCGTGTCTCATTCCCAGGATGCGCCAACAGTCCCCATAGGGGATCGGGGCCTTGATGATTGGGCCTCGAAGGCCAGAAACAAGGCACCAAGAAGTTGGAAAGCTTTGCACTCCTCCAGAAAGGGGTAATTGAGTCCCTCCCCATGCCCATCTCCCGCCTGTGATGGGACAGCTGCTTCTCACTAAAATGGAGATGCCCCCTTGTACGAACTGCCTAATTGTTTGGTTCTGAGGCCTGGTTTGCTCTTAATTCCTATCTGGACTCCTCAGACCTTAACCTTTTTCCTGAGCTCTCTTTACTGCACTGGAGTTCCAACTCCCTTTGAGTTGGGGGGTGGGGGGGAGGGTTGTGGGTTTTCTTGGTTGGTTTTTGTTTTGTTTGTTTCATTTTGTTTTGTTTGGCTAATTGGTGCATATTCAGGTACCACCTTTGACGTGTGGATCTCTCTCCTGACCACCATGGGAAGTGTCTGCCAGATTCCATTTTCTAAGAGTTTCTGAGGGTGAGGCTCTTATTTTTTTTAAGGGAGCCAATCTATTTCCTGCACTTCAAGAAGAATTCAAAATGTTCCTGAATTTCAAATACCTCATGCAAAAATGTCTCCTGAAATAAGGGAAAAAAAAAAAAAAACTTTGAAAATCTTAATGTTGAAGTTAGCGATGCCGAAAGGTTTCTGTCTTAAAAAAAAAATCCTTTTCCATTTTGCCCCTCAGGCAGTCAGTTCTGTGGAGAACTGTGTTCTGCGTTACCTCTCAGTGTATCTCAAGGCGGCTTTACCTCCAGATCCTCTAGGGTTAGAGTAACTTTTTTCTTTGCAGCAAAACTCCATGTTGATGAAAGATGAATTTGGATATTTATTTCCTTTTCTTTTTGGGAAACAAGAGGTTACAACCAAGACAGCTAAAGGAAAACCACACACACGCGTCCATGGGAATAGCAAGTGGCCGGGGTCCCCTACGCCCCTTCTATTTGCGGTGGCCTCTGGACAGGCAAGGAGAGTCGACACGGTCGAGGATGAAGACAACATCCACGAGACCGAGGCTGTCATTAGTTTTTCTCTGAAGTGCCTGAAGGTAGGAATGGGCCGGTGGTTGGGACCAAGTAGGCCCCACCACGGCCACGCCAGGCAGAGCGCCAGCGGCCCTGCACTCAGTGCTGGCCGGGAAGGCCTTCCACACGGAGTGATGAGACTGCAGAAATCCACACGTGCTTCCTTCCCTGCCGCAGCCCGCTCCTCGGAGCCGCTGTTCCCCACCACCCTGCACCCCTCCCACCCCAGAACCTCAGACCTTGCAGCCGGCGAGCCAGGGGTGGGGGGCCTAAGTGAACGCCTTCCATGGACACCAGGCCCCGTGGCCGAAAGTGCTCCCAGGGCAAACTCACTCCCCGCAAAACTTGACACTGGGGAGGCTGCGGCTACACATTCCACAAAGTGCTGGCACTTAACCCAAAAGCCAGAAGGCAATTGACCACCTCATAGGGTGGTGACCTCCCATTACAAACGACGTCATGGTTTGGAATGTTCATTATGGCCAAGGAGCTGGTTAGAGGTATAAAGACCTTTTTTCACTGTTACCTGATTTTTTTTCCTCTTATGATTTTTTTTTTTTGGTGTGTTGTACAGCAGTATAATTTTTCACTTATTTATTCCATCAGTAGATATGGTTTGTACAATGTACAATGGTTCCATTTCAGAAAATAAAAAAAATCAAATCATGAACACCATGTGATTTTGTACCATTATGACAAAGAGTAAAATCTGATTGCTGGGGAGGCTCTGGCCTCTCCTGCACAGCCGTGTGGCCCTGGCTTTGTACAGGACACCGTAAGCTCCTTGCACACAGAGATTCCCACGGTGATGCTAGCTGCCATCACTAAGCACCAGCTGAATGCTGCGGTCAGTGTTGTCGCCCACCTTGGGCCGGTGAGGCAGAAGCAGGGCTGTCCCTTGCCTGAGTCGCATAGCCTGTCAGAGCCCCAGTGTAAAAGCCACATCTGGCCCCTCAGCCTGGATTCCTAGCTATGAACACTGGTTTGCTGTGTCCCCAACTTTGGGTGGCTCTGGCCTGTGGCAGGGACTCTACAGAGTCAGCCCACAGGTGGATTGCAACTCTGTCTTGACATCTAGTGATTTGTGGTCAGGCCGGACCAGAACTTGCCCTGGGCCCCTCCCCTCCCAGCAACTCAGACACTACTCTCCCTCTCAGCTCAGACTCCCTCCCCCGAGTGGACTTGCTTTTCTCTCCTCTGTGCCATCTCACTTCCTCCACTTCCACCTGAAGCCCGGCCCTGGCTGAGCCGCCTACAGTGGGGAACGGGGTAGGATTATTGTTTTGACAAGGCCTGTGCCAAGTATCACTGTTGACCCACCTAGAGGCAAATGTTCTCTCCTTTTTGTTTTGTCTGACTCTCCTCCCCACTCTTTTTAATATGTTCGAGTGTTTTACCAGGATTGGTTGCTCAGCTAAATAAACTCCTGATATGGAACGTTCAGCTCAACAAAACACAAATCATAGGGGCCTTGTTTACTTAACAAAAAAATGCTGTAGCTGGCACACTCTCGCTCTCTCCTTCTCTGTCCTCCCCGTGTGTCTGTTTTCTGGGTCTCTGGATGAAGGTCCCTTCCTTCTGGACTTTTCTCTCTGGATCTCCCCCTTTCTCTTGGCCACTCTTGCTTGCACCTCCCTGGATCTCTCTCTCTGTCATTCTGTTTCACTTTCTCCATGTGTCTCTTGGCTTCTCTGTCTCTTTCAGCTCCCTGTCTGTCTCTGTGGAGCTGTCTGACTTCCTCTCATATCTCCCTTCATCAAGGAGCAGTCATGCACAGGAGCTGGAAGTGTAGGTTTTACGGGCATTCATTGAGCACCATCTGTGTGCTGGGCCCTAGGCAACAGTGACTCAAACTTGACCCTTTCCCTCCAGGCAGTAAGAGCTGATGCACTAGGATGCTGGTGCAGTTTGGAATTAGGGAGGAGGTGCATTTTGATGGCAGGGGTCAGGGAGGCTCCTAGGATGGTGGAGGAAGCCCAGGCTTCCTCTTAGGCTAAGAAGCTTGTTTTTCCTTGTTGACACTAAGGAGTGGCTGGAGGTTTCTGAGCCAGGGTCTGCTGGACTGGGGATGGTGCTGCCAGTGAATGGCATGGATTGGAAAAGGCCAGACTGGAGGTGGGGGCGGGGCAAGTAGGGAATTGGGACAATAGGCCAAGCAGGAGCCCAGGAGTTGGCAAGGGGGCTGGTGCGCCCCCAGGTGATATGAAGGCAATCAGTGCCGCAGCCTAGTGTGGTGGAGTCAGGTGGGAAAGGCAGGCAGAGAAAGCTCAGGTCAAGTCCAAGTCCAGACCAAGCCAACAAGTGTCATGGAGGTCCATGGTTGGGCTGAGGAGGGATTGCAGACCCTGAGGGCCAAGTCTGCCCCCACACTGGTCACCCCCCCCATACATATTTCCCTCCAGAGGCTCATAGTAGACATAACTCTTCGCCAGTTGCATTCCCCTCTTGTTCCAGTAGGGGTCCCCTTCACCCACTCTCAGTCCCAGGGGCAGCCATGAGACCCAGGCCCAGGTTTCGCCCCCCCCCACCCCAGCCACAGCAATTGGTTCAGTGATGATCACGTGACCCAGTGTAAACCAATGAGAGTCAGCCCTGGGATTTTTCCAGGAACTGTGGGAAAGAGTTCTGCTAGAGTATTCCCTGGAGTTGTTAAACTGGAGCTGCTGGGGCCACCTTTCCTCCAACTTGAGGAGAAGCCTGCCTGAGAATGAAGCCGACGCAGGCAAGAGTTGAAAGACAGTGAGTATGAGCTTCCCGAGAGCAGCATTTGACACTCAACCCCATCTGGCCCTGAAGCCAGCCTGCCTCCTGAACTTTTCCATTTTGTGAGCCAATAAATGCCCTTGACGGTTTAGGTCACTTTTCACTGAGTCTTTCCCCGTGGGAGCTCCCATTCCTTTCTCCCAGGGCTTGGAGTGTTTCCTGGACAAATCCAGAAGGAGGGGTGGTTGCCCATATGGGAGCTCCAACTCCTGATGGTATCATTCTCTTGGAGGCAGTGTCTCTCTCCCCTTCCAAACTGCTGCCCTTTCAATGCTCCCATGTGACAAGGACTTGGAAGTTTCACAGCCGAGGACAAGGAAATAAACAGGTTAACGTGGACCCGTTTTGGACTTCTGAAGCAGCCTTGTCTATAATCCTCAGAGTTCCAGCCCTGTGTGACCTCAGGTAAGCATCTTAACCTCTCTGGGCCCCAGTTTCCTCATCTATAAAATGGGGAGAATAATAGTTCCTACTCGGGTTGTTGGGAGGATTAAATGAATTAATGAATTAATACATGTAAAGTGCTCGGGGCAAGCCCTGGCACATAGCAAATCTCAATAAATGTTGGCTCTTATTGCTATTATATGATAGTCATTATCCTCAAGCATGTCTAGATGCCAGAAGTCCAGCTCCTAGAAAATGAGGCACAGGGAAAGGCAAGAAGCCCCACCCCCAGCTGCTTTGGGCTTGCCCTCGGAGTTACCCTTTACTCTCTGAAGACTGGCCTCTTCCCCAAATGATGACGGGAGTTATCTACCCAGCATGCCCCAGATGAGCCAGAGCCTGAGTCATGCCTTGTGGATTGAGTAGAATCCCACCAGGAAACAGGCAGAAGGGAAGATGTGCCTGGCTGAGGGAAGGGCTGGAGACTGGATGGCACATCCCTGCCGCGGGCACTGGCTATCAGTAGTAAAGCAGGCCCAACCAGGGGGCTTCAGGGCCCTGGGTCTCAGAGGAACAGCACATTGGGAATTCATTTTTCCAGTCTCTCTCCTTCACCACTGTTCTCCCTCCACAGGCTCCTGGGGGAAAAGCCTCTGGGAGGCAAGGACCAGGATCTGGTACCAGGCCTGTGGGTCCTGTCTGCCTCTGAGATACCCCTGGGACATGTGTGCCCATGGAGTCACTGGGTGACTTGGGGTCAATGGCTTCCTCTCTTCAGACTTGGGCAGAAATAACAATCTGCTTTGCATCAAAGAATCTCAAGAGACTCTTAAATCCTGCTCTTTTCACCCTCAGAGGTCCCTCAGTTATGAGCTCATTTGACCTCCTTGCCACCCTGAATGGTAGTTTAGAGCAGGGATCAGCCTCCCCATTGTACAGTTAGAAAAACTGAGGCCAGGGAAGTGACTGAACAGGGTCCTGCAGGGACTTAGCAAAGGAGGCTGTGGAACCCAGCCTGTCTTCCACTAGACCAGGGGTCAGTAAAGCCGGCCCGCCACCTGTTTTTGTAAAAAAATAGTATTATTGGAACACAGCCACGCTCATTTGTTTACATATGGTCCCTGGCTTCTTTTGTGATACAACAGCCGAGTTGAGTAGTTGTTACAGAGACTGTCTGGTTTGCAAAGTCAAAAATATTTACCATCTGGCCCTTTACAGAAAAAGTTTGCCAACCCCTGCACTCAACCACACTTTCCTGTTGAAACTGTGTAGCTGAAAGAATAATAATAATAATAATAATAATAATAATTACCTACTATGTGCCAGGTACCATGCAAGACCTTTTTTTTTTTTTTAAGATTTTATTTATTCATTTTTTTCCCCCCAAAGCCCCAGTAGATAGTTGTATGTCATAGGTTCACATCCTTCTAGTTGCTGTACGTGGGACTCGGCCCCGGGTTGGTCGGAGAAGCGGTGCCCCGGGGCGCGCCCGGGATCCGAACCCGGGCCGCCAGCATCAGAGCGCGCGCACTTAACCGCCAAGCCACGGAGCCGACCCTAGACCTTTCTGAATTTTTTATTGACATGTAAGTGTGTAGCTCGATGAATTTTCACACACTGAACACACCTGCATAATCAGCGCCTGGATCAAGAAACAGAATATTACTAACTCCCAGCTGTCCCCCTCCTGTCCACTCCAGTCACTACCCCGGAAGGGTAACTGCTACTCCGACTTCTCTCCGTACAGATGTGTTTTGCCTGTTTTTGAACTTTATATTCATGGGATCACACAGCATATGCTCTTTTGTGTCTGGCTTCTTTTACTCAAAGTGATGTTTGTGAGATTCATCAATATTGTTGCATGTCATTGGAGTCCATTCATTCTCATTGCTGGAGAATATTCCATGGGGTGAGGACACAACATGTACTTACCCGTTCTCCTGCTGCTGGGCATTTGGTCTGTTTCCAGTTTCCAGGAGTATTCTGAATATGCAAGATATTGCACGTCACTTCACCCTGGCTTCAACCCCGAGAGGGGGACCAATTTGTAGCTTCCTTTT